TTGTTGCGGTGCGATGTGTCATACGAAACATGGGGTCTTGTGAATACTGTGTATGCATGGATGGTTGCACCAACTGCTGTCAGTGGTATCCATGCTGCTGAACAAAGTTTCATTTTATGTTCTTCCAATGGAACGTTGCCCAACGGTGCATTTGAACTTGTTCTGGAAAGATTGCCTGGCACCGTTTCCAGAACGCGATTTGCAAGCCACCTGGGCACCATTGGCACGTTGCGCCAATTGAGTAGCGAGCAGTTTGCAGAACATTTGCTCATGATGCAATATAATGATATTCAGCCGCTTTTCCCCAAACAAGTGAAGATTAGCCGACTGGCATTTGAGGATTTGTCTCTTTCAAAAGTTCTTGCAACAGGTATAGTTCCTGACTTCCAGCCACGGGTTGTGAAAATGCATTCGTATGATGAGGTAGAGGTTCTGCAAGATGGTGGGAGTGATGCTGAAAGTGCCAACGATGATTTCAATTTGAATGATGGCGCTGATCCTTTAGATGATGACTTGCCAGATGAAGAACCACCCACTGTTGATTTGCTTGCAATGGTTTGTGAAACGGAGGCTCCAGAAAAAAAGCGTCGTGGACGCCCGCCCCAACAGAACAAGTCAACAAAGTCGTTGAAAGTCCGATGTCTGCAGACTAATCCAACAAAGGTGCATTCTCCGATGTATGTCTTGGAGGACGGGCAGTTTCCAAGTGAATCGCACAGAGAACTGAGCAGCGTAATTGGGGACAACGCTGTTGTTGCCGCTATTGATCCAGAATCAGCGGAGGCAATATTGGAAGCTGTTCATGTTTGCGCAGACGCGCACACAGGCCGAGTAGATACAGCTTGCACGTTTGATTTGCAAAGTGATTTTGAAAAACCCACCGAAGAATCAGTGGAAAACAATTTCTCCGCTGGCGATTGCCCTGTAGACATTGACATTGACATTGACATTCAGGCGCCTCCCAATGAGGAGCCAAAGTTTCAGCCTTCCAGTTCCAGTGCATTAGCTGCATCCAGTGCAGCCATTGCTTCAAGTTCTTCTCGGAAACCTGAGCCTCAGACTGAGGCTGATGCACAAGAGGCTGACATTATTTCTGCAAATGGAGTGCCTTTGAAAATTTGCCACTACAGGGGACTCAAGTTTGGGAATTTGATTTGTGAGGTTCGCCAAAAGTATGCTGGCAGCAGTATCACTACTGCAGTAGGCAAGATCAATCTTTTGATGAGATCCGGCAGTTCTTCCTACAAAGCGCACTGTTCGATACACAAGCACTGTCAGTGTTGGGTGAGTGGCATTGGCAGCGTCAAATTAGACAAGCTAGTTGATTGGCTCGCAGCAGCACCAGACTGCTCCCAAGCACAGCATGAAGATTTGAGTAGGGAATTAAGAGAAACCTTTGGCATGAAAGTGCACAAGAAGCCATAGGCTTAGGTGATTCAATTTGTAATTTGTCCAGGCGTAGATTCACACAAGTGAAGCGCAGTGAAGCAGGCAGGCATGTTAGTTTATTATTCTCAAACTGATGGGTCATCAATTAGCTTATATGATTTTATCTAAAAACATGTAACATTCAAATCATATCATTCATATATTGTATATCATATAATGCCATATCACCATCATATATCATATCAATATCGTATCTATCATATTTGAATAATTTATATTAAAGATATTTGCATTATTTATTAACATCATATTTCAATTCCAGTTTGTGTCTTTGTCTTTCCTCATTATCAAACCACTGACCAACTAATCGAACAAAGACTATTGCGTGGTTTTCATTGCAGCCTGTGGCCAGGGACAGAACTGCTAGCAACGTTTGCGTTTGCCACTGGGATGTTCGCAATCCCAGGCTGTTCCAGATATACTTGCAAAAGGTGGGAAAAAACAAGATGCTTTGATCCGTGCGCTTTGGCGCAAAGCTTTCTAAGTGGGTTTCCAGGGTTTTGATTATGTTTTAAAAATCATCATTGTCGATAACATGGGTTAAGATAAGATAATGAGAAATGATAATGATATCCTGGAGTTGGGTGGTTTAAGATGGGGCAACCCCTGGACAATTTGTTTTGCAGCACCAAAGTTTCAAGCTTTTGCTTTGGGACACCAACATCCGGCATCCAAAAATTAAGCTACGTGGGAATCCAAATGACAACTTTCTGGAATGATTAGAAACCCAAATTGAAGCCAAACTATACCCCTCTGAGATGGGTATATTATCCTGTTTTATACCCCTCTGAGAGGGGTATATTATCCTGTTTTATACCCCTTTGAGAGGGGTATATTATCCTGTTTTATACCCCTCTGAGAGGGGTATAAAACAAACAGGCCGAGAGGGGTATAAAACAGGTTTCTGCAGCATAATACGTTTTATACCCCTCTCAGGGTAGATTGTTTCATACCCCTCTCAGAGGGGTATAAAACAGGATAATATACCCCTCTCAAAGGGGTATATTTGGAGGCTCAGAGGGGTATATTATGGCCCCCTCAGAGGGGTATATTATGGTCCCCTAGAGGGGTATATTTGGAGTGCCAAATAGGTTTATGGGTTCCCAAAAGGGTATATTTGGGGTTCCAAGAAGTGTATATTTTTTGTCTTAGAAGGGTACGTTTGGAAAACACATCCATACATTTGGTGTACAACATCTTCTGTTTATCCAAAGTTAAATTTTATCAGATGGGATTACCAGATTATCTTGTTTTATCCAAAGCGGGAATTCATCAATGTGGTGGTTGGTACAAAGACCATCCAAGGTTTGATAATTGTCAATTGGTGGAGCTTCCTTTACATTATAAATTATACAGATTACCATTGTTGAATTCGCTATTTGAAAATGCAGTTGGCCAAAGTTCAGCCAAAACAAGAGTTGAAACAGCCTACCAATCTTCCGTAGCCATTTCGTTCACAGACTGTAAGATTCCAATCATCCAGCGTTTCATTCACAATGCCAGTGAAAAGGAATGCCATGAAGAGGCCGGCCGCTTCCAGCATGAAAGCGGCCAAGACCAAAACGGTTAAGACCCCAGAGGAGGTTGACCAGATTATTCCTGAGAAGACCATCCAGAATGATATGATCGTTATTCTTCATGGTGGTCCACTCGATGATACGATGTGTGTTCCTTATCTACAACATAGCACTCATTATCCTGGATATCTTCCACATATATCTTAAAATAAACTCCACTATGGACTATATTAAATTATATTCTAATAATAATATTAATATTATATATATTATTTAAATATAAATTATATATAAATTATATTAATATTGTATCGACTATAATTCCTGATAATGTGTAGCATATGTTTTTTTTTAATCTACTGTAGTCTATGTTTGACACGAATCGTTCAGAGGCACCCCTGGTATTTGATGATGTACTGTACTACTAAGATTATTATGACTATGACCCATGACCATGACTATCTTTTAATGATCTCATCTGTGTTTCCCCATTGGTTTGACTTTCTGATTCGCGTGTATGTATGTAAGTATGGATATGTTATTTATACATCATCCACAACAACTATATATAATATGATTTATTGAAACATTACACAGTTCATAGACTTTATTAAAATTATATTTTAGGCCTTCATCATGCCACGTTGTCATCCATACATACATACATACTTCAACTCATCCACCCATCACTCCATCCATCCATCCCTCCATCGATCGGTCCATACATTGTTTGTGAACTCTGTTTTATCTTGTCATGTTATTTCCTTGGATTGCGCTCTCCTAGGTGCGCCTTTTGTCCGGGGGCGTGGAGGATATGGACGTGGACCGCAAGAAGGTGAAGACCGCATTCTTCCCCAATGTCTTGTACAAGGTTTCCTACAACTGGTACCGTGACGCTGACAAATTAAGCAGTGAGCATGGGATGCCGACCGGTATCATCCGTTCAGCTGCGCCAATTTGCCATGCCACGCTCATGCGCAATTTCGTGAATGAATGGTTTGATTATGATCTTGAGAAGGAAGACCGCAAGAAGTTTAGGCGCCAGAATGCGCAGTTCTTCTAGTAAAACTTGCGCCTTCCCATAGCACTGACTAGGTCCTCGATGGACTTCTGGCTCATTCAAGGGTTGCTGGGCTGGATGTGGCGTGATATGTGAACTTTGTTGATGAGAAATTTATAGAAATTTGTTGTTGTGCTTAACATTGATTGTGTTATGCTGCGTTTTTTATATGTCATTTATTTATATATCTATCTCAATCTCTATAAAGTAAAACTAACAGATGTGTTACTATAAATTGAAGTTTGCTTGATTTTGAAATTCGATTTCATGCCACGTCCGACCAATGACCAACGCCAACCGATGAAGGTTGATTGTAACATGCATTGCATCTAATCCATGCCAGTTGTTCCATCATCCGGCCAGTCATTGCCCAAGGAACGTTTTTGAGTGATGTCAAGCTGTCAGCTTGAAATGCCAACAAGCTTTGGAGGGTCCTATGTTGAAATGTTTTTGATTGGACAATTGTTTTATCATCTGCCGTTTCAAATGCATAGAAAAGAAACACTTCTTCCAATTTCAGAATCCTCCTTTCTTGTTTGAACCGATCCTTTGAGTCCGACACAAAGACACACAAAAGTGTTTCAGCTGCGCAGTCGGTCAGGTGTTGTTGGAATCAGCCTGGTGACCAGGTGTTAGATTGCACTTCATTTTTCAGCTTTGCACTGCAAGACTGAGAGCTCGCGATGTTTCATCTTTGCTGCATTCGAAATTGACATATGTAAATCTTGTTGGAGCTGTCAAAGTTTCACGTTGAGGGATGCTGTTTGTGAAGTTTGTTTTTCCTTGGGCATGCCGAGCATGCTGCAAGATCGAATCTTGAAAGACCTGTGACATTTGACTATCAGAGAACTCTTGATTCACTCTCTTCTATCCTGTCGCGCTTCTTAAGTGATTCAAAGTTGAGAAGAGATAGGACAACGACCGAATTGCCCAGTCACAGTTGTTAGCTGCTAGCTAGATAGCTGATAGCTCAGATGGGGCCCAAAAAGGCATCGATGTGCAAAACTTGCCGACAAGACTTTTCCGATGAGAGGAAGCAGAAAGGCACGTCCATTCAATGTGGCCAATGTTTCTACTTCATCAAAAGCCATCCAATCTACAAGGGCATGCCTTCCAAGCAGCTTCAGGAAGAATTGGCAGATGACGAGAAGTTTGGCACCTACCTCACAGGATTGACTGAGTGGGAGGAGAACCGTCAAGCTGGCAAGTCGCGCTCGCGGACGCAGAGCGTGACCACATCTGCTGAAACCAAGGCTTCGATGCATACCCGGTCTTTGAAAGGGTATCTGTGGACCAAAGACTTGTGCGAGAAGAAAGGATGTGGTGAACTCTTCAAGAGCCGGAGCAAGTGCTTGACTTCTGTCCAGCACATGGGCAAGACAGTCACAGGAATCTTGCGTGATGTCAATTGCCTTGGAGCCATCGAGATTTACGAGGATTCCAGTGTCAGTGCCATTCGCAGCAATGTAGCAGGTGAGGCAGATGCTATGGACTGCGATGCAGTTTCTGAGCAGAACCAACTCTTCACAAACCTGATACAGCAGATCAAATCACAGGAGACTGAGGACGGCGATGGCAACTCGGGTTTGAAGGCTGCTGCTCGCAAAGATGATGACTTCTTGGACCTTTGGGGGGTCTCTTCATCAGTGGGTGGCCCTTCATCTTCCAATCGAAACCGGGGCAGTGAGGGGACCTGTGCAGAGGCTTCTCGACCACCGAAGAAGCAGAAGATTACGAAGAAGCTAGCTGCTGGTGTTGTGGGTCAGCCTTCTACGTCAGATTCAGTGCCTCTTCAGAAATATTATGTACTTAGAACTACAGGTTCAGCAGTTAAACAATGTTTCGATTAAAATAGATTGTGTTCGTGCTATTGACATCAGTTATTAGTTATGTTGTTGTTTTTTTTTATTATTATGCATTATTTAAATCTATCATGTATTTATAGAGTATTTTACTTGATCTTATTATTGTATATGTGTTTGTAATGTTAGTCAATAGATATAAATAATTAATTGTATCTAAATATTAATGTTATGGTTTTTATATTTTATTTATATTGATGTGATATTGATATATTATGTTAAACGAGTTAAAGTTATATTCTACCGTACCTTATCTTGTTTCTGATCAATCATGTTGTAAGGGATCATTTGTAATTATCATGTTAGTCTATGTGTGGTCATGGCCCATGGTTTCAGAGTCATGTTCATATTAAATCATTTGACGGGTATTTGATTTATGACATTTGATTTGTGATTTAGATATGATATTATGTGACTTCTGATATCATTTGGTTTGATTTAATTTATGGTATGGTTCGATGATAAATGAATTAGTTTGCAATGATTTATCAAAATATAAATATATGCTCTATAATATATAATATATTGTATGATAATAATAATTATTATTATATTTGTATACATGATATATGATACAATTGTATATGATGCTATGTTATGTTGATATTTTTATGGTTCTTTGTCCACCGGCCGATCTCAGGCAGATACGGCATCGCAGAGTGGGCAGGCATCGGCATCCTCTTTGAGCAGCAGTTGGATGTTTTCCGGTCGACTCAACATGAAGGGAGGGAAGGCCAAGCAGTCTGAACATCACAAGGACTTTGAGCAAACCGAACGAGCAATTGCCCAAGTCGAGCAGCTGAAGGTTGCAGTTACCAACCCTGCCTCTTACTTGGGTTTGACATTTGCCAAGTGCCGCAGTGTGTTGGAGAAGATCCAGTCTAGGAACACAGATGCTCTTCAGAAACTCTACCGTGAATCTGGATTGAATGGAGATGCACAAGGACTAGATCTTTTGAAACGAACATGCGAGTGCTGCAAGCAAGCCAGCGCCATTGTCGATGTTGTGTCTGCTTTGCACGACCCTGAATCATCGGCAGAGACTTTGGCATCTGCCCTTGCTGATGCACGGCTGGAAAATGTGGATGTTCCACAGAATGCTGATCAGATCTGTCATGCCCGCCTACTGACAGAGCTGAGCAAAGCTCAGAATTGGTCTGAGTATTTCAAGCAGATCGACGTGGATCACGTGAAGCCTGTCTTTGGAGATGGGGTGGAGGATGATAGCCTTTTGGACTTTCAGGCTTCTTCGCTTCTCACCGCCATGCGCTCCATTCTCATGCAGGAGGTGAAGCTTGACAATGCCCCATCTGATGAGAAAGAGGCAGCCAAGCAGTTGATCTTACTTCAGGACAAGATGATCCTAGAGGGCAGCTGCTTCATTGACGGCTTCTTTGACGCCAACATTGCCAAGTTCATGGAGGATAAGCCCAACGTTTCCAACCTCTTTGAGGATATGCTGAAGTTCAAGATTGTCTTTGCCGCACTTCTGAGGTCCAAGGAGCGAAGGCTAGGGGATGCTGAGATTGAAGCTCTGAAAGGTGCCCGTCAGCACTTGATTGGCAACAAGAAAGGGTTGTTCTACGAGACTTTGACTCTTTTCCCATTGGGCCAGTGTGTTGCTGGCAAGGCGGCTGACATCGTGAACGCTGCTTACCATGACAAAGGTCTCATTGCTGAATTGGACAGCGTGGTTGAATCACTTTCCACCCTGAAGCCTTTCACCCAAGACTCCATCTTGAGGAAGGTCATCAAGGACACGGTTGCCGACTTTGAGATCCAGATCCCTATGTCCAACAAAATGTTCGACGTGGTTAGCAAGTCGCTTTGTCTTGATTTCATTTTGTTTGCAGTTTTTGTTTGGGGACATGGGGCTGAAAGTTGTAAATCACATTCGGAGTCATAATCGAAGCCTAAGCATACCAAACCATTTAGATCATTTCTCATATAATATGGGAATGTCTCAAAAGAGGGGCGCCGAAGCATTTTTTCAATCAAAAAATAAAAGTTTCTATATTTGAGACATTCCAAAATCAATTATAAAAGTGTTAACTAGTTACAGTAGTTATAGTCATAGTCATAGCCATAGTCATAGTCATTAAATTAAAACTACTGTTATAATAATTTAAATGATTTGATGATGTACTGTTTGAACATAGTAACGTCAATGCTCATGTTTTATCCTATAGCATTTAACTAATTATATCATGCTTGCTGTTTGTATCATAGCTTTTCTAGCCTCTTATAGCATTGTAGCTGCCAAGGCTCATATCATATCATATCATATCACATCGATAGAGTAACTCTTACATTTCGTTTGGTCAAACATTTTTTTCCAACACGAGACTTGGCAAATCACGCCATGAATCATACTGGCACTGTACTTTTTGTTTAGCTTCTAGCATATATAATAGTAAAATTAAAAGGTATGATATAATATATAATAAATCGTTCAATATATAATTTATACAATTAAATTATATTTTATATAATAATATAATAGAATATTTAATATACAATTAATATTATATTTATATAATATACATATCACCAAAACACATATCATATTTGATTCTATGATATCACATCTTATAATCATAAATCGAATCATATTGTATTGTTTTATTGAAATTAATATCATTGATATGATTGTATCGTTGTTGTTGTATCATATCATATATCATATATCTGGCTTCTTTGCCTACCATCCCGTTCGAGGTACTCCATGATTTGCAACACTGCTTCGGAACATTTTCGATCAGAACGCCACAGAGATCTTGATGCAGTTGGTGCCAAGATTGATGAGCTCAGTTTGGCATTGCACGCAGCAGTCTCTACGAAGTTCTGCAACCGACACGGCACGAGCATCATTGACGGCATCACTGCTTTGCTTGACGGCAAGATGGATGTGCAGAAGTCCACTGAGTTTTGCAAGGCATTGGAAAGTGCTGCTTCCTTCGTGCCTTTCAACAAGGCACTGGTCAACAAAGCATTGGGGGAGACCAGGGGTGCAGTGCTCAATCAATTTCTTCAGGACAACAAGGAGTTCTACACCAAGATCTCAAGGGCGACCAGCGTGCTGTTCCCCTTCCTGGAATCTCAAGCAGAGGTGGGGGCTTCCACACTCTTGACTCCATCGCTGGTGCCTTTGATTGAGGCGATGCAGAATGAGACGATGCTTGCCAACGTACCGAAGATGGTTCCCAAACTCATGTGGCCATTGAAGCGCTTGCAGCAGAAGATTCTGTCTGCAGCCAAGGTTGCTATGGCCCGTGAAACAGCTAGCGTGATCACCCTCATGTCCAAATTCCAGGATGGTGAGGTTGACTTGAATGCTTTGATGGATACGAACCTTGTAGGGGCCGTGGTCGAGTCTGAGGGTGACGAGACTACATTGAAGGAGGTGAATTTCGGGAGGATCTACGAGCTCTACTTTGCAAAGATCAACTCCGACGGCAATGCCGATGCCAACAAGTGCTACATCGAGAATGGGTCTGAGAAGTTGGAAGTCAGCCCGACCGTTCTTTGTGCTGGCAAAGTCATCCACCATGTTCTCAGAAACATTGCTCATTTGAGTGGCATCATGAAGGAAGCATCAGAGAAACCACCAATGGTAGAGAATTTGACACCACCAAAAGCGTCGAAGCTGTATGTGGGTTGCAAGCTTCAGCATTTGGTCGCAACTTGGACTTTGCAATCAGTAGTTTCCAATAACAACGACAACAATGACAATAACAACGTATGAAAATATTTTCCACCATAATGAATAATAAACTCAATCTAAGTTTTTTTTATGACTTACTTTACTGGTAACTTGAAACTTATAACTTATAATTTATGCTTACGCGTTATAAGTTATAATTATATATAAATAATTTATAATTAATAACAATTCGAGTTTCTGAGCGTGTTTTTGTTACTATTTTTGTTTCTGTCCTGCAACTCAGGATTCCGGAGCGAAGTGTGTCAGCAAGTGTATCCAGTCTCTTCAGGAGGCAACTACATCCTTGGAAACTATCCCATGCGACGTCGCCAAGTCCCGCTTGCAACAGTGCAAGGAGAAGCTAGGTGACCAAATCAAGCTCTTCGTGACCGATTTGAGTGGGGAAGTGTCAGGGGTGCAGCGCCACATCCAGCAGGTTCTTCCCAAGGTGCTGGATGAGTTCAAGTTGAGTGAGTCGCTTGAGTCTGATTCATATGACCCTAGCATGGTCAAGGCAGCGTGTGCAGATGCTCGTGTACAGATCCTTTATCATTTGATGCGCTTGGGAAAGCCAGGCATTTTGTCTGCACTTTCTACGCTGCAGTCAATGGCCATGATTTGCAAGAATTTTGCAGAGCTGCCCGTTTACAGTGCAGCCGCAACATGGACAGACGCTGTAATTGCAGATGTCTCGAAGTTTGCTGAAGGAGATCTGAAAAATCAATCAGGTCTTGCTTTTACCGGGTATGCACTTGGAAACATTACCCTGGCTCAAAGTGTTTATCGTGAATTGAGCACTGGGGAGACCCGACAGAACCTAGTGTTTAAAGCCCTCAATGGTGTGAAGGCCCGTGGCTTCAAATGCAACCAAAAGCTGTTGCAGAAATGTGAGGCCATTCTTAAGGGTCATGGCAGCAAACAAGCCAAGTGAGTCCCTGATTTCCATCGACTCGTTGAAAGATCGGCACAGTTTATGCGGGTTGTGACTGAAACCGGTCAGATCTAGCCACAGCGCCAGGGGGGAAAAACGCTTTGACAGTCTACGCAGCCGCATTGGTTTCATTGATCGAAACCATATATTTTGTTTTGTGTTGTTTTGTTTTTATCTTGAAGCTTGTTGTTTTCCATCTATGAGTCTAACCCGTCAAAGGCCAACGGCAAACATCAAACCATCAAACATTGTATGGCAATGTGGGAGCGGTTACATGAGTAACATACATAATTTAATCATTGATCATTAATCATTCATTCATAAATAAAAATGTTATTAATAAGTTATGAATGATTCATAATTTCATAAATAATTGTATCCAACTACCCTATCTGAAGGTTATTTTGGTTAATCGGGCGTTTGACCCATTGATTTTGGTCCATTGAAAGGAATATATATGACATTTTTGGACATTTGAGTGTGGTATATTACCCTTTTGAGATGGGTATATTCGAAGTTTGGGAGAGGTAGATTTACCCTTTGAAAGGGGCATTTTATAGACATTCAAGACGGGTATATTATACCTTTGAGAGGGGTATATTATACATTTTGAGAGGGGTATATTATACCTTTGAGAGGGGTATATTATACCTTTTGAGAGGGGTATATTATACCTTTGAGAGGGGTATATTATACCTTTTGAGAGGGGTATATTATACCTTTGAGAGGGGTATATTATAGATAGTTGAGAGGGGTATATTATAGGGAATTAGAGGGGTATATTACCCTAAAGAGTTACTGTTAGAGGCAATCCCTAAATTATGGATATACAATGCGGATGATAGTGGCTTGATATAGTGTTTTTTTTCATGGGAAATCTTTCATCCAAATGACGGTAGAACCATCAAGAAGAATGGGAATAGAAAGGTTCTACCCTCCGGTAATTTGTTACATAGCTATTGAACATGGCACATATATAGAAATAGTTGATTTACCGAACTTAAAGATGGTGATTTTCCATAGCTTTTTCTATGTTTACCAAAGGGTACTAGTATGGAGACAGTAGGAGTGTACATGGCCGGCCACCTGGAAAATTCCAAAGGCCTAAATGGGTGGTGTCCATTGCCATCTATGATTACCGGAGGCTACGGGTCGTAATTTCTGATGTCTAAAAAACGCGGTGGCAAGACTCCCTTTTTGAAGAAATGTCTATGCTGTAGCAATTGGTGTTTTTTATTTTTTGACTATGCTTGAGATTGGGAACATATTGACATGAATTCACCACAGGCTGGTTCCACTTGGATGATGGCTCTCCATGGTCTCTGGCTGGGTTTTCCAAGGAATTACCATGTCAAGCCGACGGATAAAATCCCAAAATCCAACTCATGTGGCAGATCTGATAATAAAAAACACATTTGAGCATGTTTATGAGATCTGCGTTTGTGGCATATAGCTGGATCAATATACCTCATTTAGTTTTTCTGCATATAGCTGGATCAATATATGAATTCCAAACCGCAAGATTATTGGTTGATATCCCCATACTCTTGTTCACCCTCCAGTGGTCCAGTATTCTAGTCTAAAACAACCATGTTTCTGATAGGAAAGTCATATCCTTACAGCTTCAAACAAACATGTGAGACATTGTGAGACATTGTGAGACTGTACTTGACTGACAGAGCATTTGCAGCACTCGAATGTGAACCATTGTGAACCCCTGAGGCAAAAGTGGGTAAAAACTACATTAGAACATATCAATGGAAATTTCAGGATCCTAAAATTGAGGTACTGTACCATATACGACCATATTTTGTGGGGATATTCCCTTCCATAGGCCTGAAAAATAGGCCTTACATATGGTTACCTCGAATAAATCGGTTCCTGTTGCATGGCCATTGAACGTATTCTAACCCAGCTTTAGGTGGGGTACATCCCAACAAAAAGATGAGTGATGCGGCATCAAGTAATGTCAAACGTTCCTTTGGCGTCCCAGAACGTGATTGCACATGGGGGGTTAAGTCGGATAAGTATAGTATTCGTGAAAATTGATCATCAATATATAATAGTTATGCAATAGTTCACCATGGGGGATTAATAGTTATTCATATGTGTTAATTGATAATCAAGAATTAGTCATATGTTAATGACTTATGAATGAACAACTATCAATAATTAAAGTAATTCATCTATTATGACACTCATGGGGTAACAAATAAATTGCTTATCCTTTTTAATAAGGAATGATGATTCATCAATAGGCCTAGAGGTACCTTAGTTTCATATTTTCAGACAACCCCTACATGGTGACTGTCGTTTGCACGTCGTTTCCAAGCCACTCCAGCCTTGCATATTTCTTCAGCGCCGCTGCACGGCCAGAAAGCATGGCGTTGACAGCTACCCCACAGAGAATTGATTCATGTAGACATGGCTACTGGTACCCTCTGGTAATTTAACATAGCTATGGAAAATCACCATTTTTATTGGGAAAACTCACTATAAATGGCAATTTTCAATTAGTTTACCAGAGGGTAGATGCCCCCTCGAAAACAAGTTGGTTCCATTTGTGGCAAACTCTGGCAAGTTTTTGCCCATTTTTTTTACATTTCCAGGAATGGCAAACAGATCATTTTTTGAAAAACCGGTGAAACCCAACTGCTTGGGGCTTCACCCAGCCGAAAACAAACCATCCGATCCAACTGCGAGGTGGCATGAGGTCGGGTGGTGCCATTTCCCAGCCATTCGATCTTTCATTCCAGCCATAGTCGTGGCATGTTGTGGCAACTGTTCACAAAGATTCTCCGTTGTGGAGAGCTGCCTGGAGGATTGTCAGTGGAAAATTGCAAACCTGATCCAGAGATATGGCTATGTGTCAAAATTGCCCCAAGAGAACCGCAGAACTGGTCATTTTAAACATTAACCATCCAATTTTAGGGCACCCAATTTTCACCCATACTCATTTCAAAACCATGAAATCCATGTTCTCGTCATTCATGTACTTGTGGAAGGTGGCCGGCCATGAAATCGTTCCAAATTCTTATAAATTCTTCTATCGCAGCGTTCTCGCAGCAAAATGTACGGCCGGTGCGAGTTCCAACTGTCTGAGTTTCCTCGATATGTTTCCTCTGCGAATGTCATGCAAATGCCCCATACCTCCAATAAAGTGTCTGTATTTTAATGGACAGATCGCAAAGACATGGGGTATGGGGTACTTGATTAGCATGGATTAATATAGACATATGGTATTAACATATTAAAATACAGTGTTTAATGGACAGATAATGATCCAAACCATGGTATTTGAAGGTTCCCAAGTCACAAAGGTCACAAAGCCACATGGTCCCATGGCCCACACTCTTTTGAATGTGCATCTCAGCTAGATGCAAATAATCATTGGCTATATATATAATACATATATATATAATACATATATATATAATACATATATATAATACATATATATATATAATACATATATATATAATACATACATATATATATAATACATATATATAATACATATATATATATATACAACTCCCTTCAACTTTGCCCGAAATTCATCATCCACAAAAAATGTCCCGGAGTCCCAATATCTTCTAGTAATCATCCAGGTCACAGTACTTTTTGGGGCAAACCATGTCCTTGATATTGCTAACCATGGTAAGTTCACTTAATCCTATATGGTCGTCAATGTATATCTGGTCGGTGGTTGAGCCATCCCTCTGAACAAATATGAAAATCAGTTGAGAATATGAAATTCCCAATATATATATGTATATATATATCGAAAAATAAAAAAATGTTCCAAACCACCAACCATATATATATATACATAATACAAATATAAATGCATATATTCATTCGAGCAACCATACATATTTATATATGTATTAGTATAGATGTTTCTGAAAACATCATGAACCATTTGACATGCTCAGCTCCAGCAAGCCCTCTGGTCATTTAACATCGCCATGGAATATACAGAATGAACATTGACATTCATCCATGTTCCATGGCACTGTTAGATTACCGGGCTTGGCAACTCTTCGATTGTTTTTTCTGCATCAACCAAGAAAAAGGGAATATCTAGTGATGTGAAACAAAATCCCCAAGACAAGTGGTGTGAAATATCTTGTGATATCTTGTTCCATCTCCAGGGAAATATGGTGTTCTTGTTCTACCCTCTGGTTATTTGTTACATAGCCATGGTATTGATGGCCCATAGAAATAGATGGTTTACCTATTAAAAAATGGTGGATTTGTCCATGGCTATGTTAGTCATAACCAGATGGTATCTCCAACAGATACTTCTTCAAGTGATGTGGATCCGACAACTGGAGGTGGAACCGACAACTCGTCAATGGCTATAAAAAACGCTTACAACACAGTTAGGTTGATGGGTTACCCGGCCTGGTAAACGTTTACAGTTTGCTATGGAACAGTTCGCATATTTATAGTTGATTTACCTATTACAAGTGATGATGTTCAATAGTTATGTTGGTTTACCAGAGGGTATATACGGGATTATAATCGTATAAACCAAGTGCAATGCCTGGGATGCACATGCATGGTGAATCTTGGATGGCAAAAAATCTCATTTTTAGCTGGTACATTTTACCTTTGATAGCAAACGATTAACCATGATCTAACCACCATTACTAACAAGTATATTATATTCACAGTATCTAATCACCATTATTATCCATTTTGAACCATTACAGTACTGGTTGGTGGTTTCAACCCCTCTGAAAAATATGAAAGTCAGTTGAGAGTATGAAATTCCTAATGGAAACATAAAATTCATGTTCCAAACCACCAACCAGATATATACATATATTCATTCGAGCAACCACAACGATTTATATATGTATTAGTATAGATGTTGTATTATCCATTATTATCCATTATTATCCACTATTAACCAATAAGATCCATTATTGTCCATTATTATCCATTGTTAACCAGCCATTATTATCCATTGTTAACCATTACAGTAAAAG